CAGGGAAAAGAAAAATCAATAGTCTCAATGGATAAGTACAAAGCAACTTAATTGAATTTTTTTTAACAACAAGATAAAAAAAACCCCATTTGCTTTTAAATTTAATAATGGGGTGGGAGGATGAAAAATTAATCTAGTATTTGGTATTTGCCTCCTGAATATCTTGATTCACTTTAGGTATTTTTGTATCTATTATCTCACATAATCTTCTAAGCCATGCAGAAAGGCAAACATTAATATTCCTATTTTTTTTTTTTTTAAAGATTTATTTATTTATTCATACAGAACTGGGGTACAGGCCAGAGGCTCAGGGGCGGTGAGAGGCTTCACCAGAGACAGAGTGGGGAGCAGAACAGGCAGATCGACGAAGTACACTGCTGAGGGGAGCAGCGGGCGGGCCAGGAGAGGTCTGGCTCGCCATGTGGTCTCCTCCGGGGCAGGCGGCAGGCGGGAATCGAACTCATGCGGAAGTGGCTTCAGATTCTCAGTGCTGTGCTTTAACCCGCTGCGCCACCAGGGAGGGCCAATATTCCTATTTTTATAGGTGCGGGAACTAAGATACAGAGATGTTAAGTCAACTTGTCCAAAGTCACATGGGTGTTAGGTGGTGATGCCAGGAGACAAACACAGAGGCCCCAACTGGCTCTCCTGTTTGCCTTTTCACTGAATCATGCTGCCCTTTTAAGGGAAAACCTTATTGAATGATAGTTCAGGAAGCAATAGAAACTTTATATCCAAATCAACTGAGGGAACAAGACAATCAGGAGAAGGAAAGAGAGGAGATGGAAGTGGAAAGAAGGGAAGACACCAAAACTAAGGGAGGACCAGAAAGGAGAGGCCAGCTGCACACAGCAACGCTGAGCCTCAGCACAGGAGCTAAAGTCAGCAGCTTTGGCCATGCTTCCCTACAGATACTTGGATTAGATACCCTGGTTTCTCTTTAAATCATATGAATCTTTTGCATTTTACCAATAGATACTTACATGGTCAGGACAGTCTGGAAGCAAGTATTGACTCTGACTACATGCCAAGAGCTCCTGCAGCTCCATGCTCCCTATAGACCAGCAGTATCAGAGAGCTTGTTAGGAATGCAGAATTTTGAGTTCCACCCAGGCCCACTGATTCAGATCTGCATTGTTCCAAGATCCCCCACCTTGTACCCTAACATGCACAAGACAGCCCGCTCTAGCAATGTCCACAGAACAGGAGGAGGCAGATGTTCAAACAACCAGAATAGACTGTGCCTTGCTCAGACCAAAGTGAGAATCAATAACAGAAGCAGATCTGAGGAAGCTGCTCATGTGGGTCAGAGACAGCATCAAAGAATAGTTTGAGGTGACCTGGTAAGACAGGAACTCATTCACTGGCAGGCAGACGCTTAGGGTGCACTGAGTCAGGAAGGCAGGACCCAGAAGGTACGTTCTTAAACAGGAAGGCGTCCTTTGTAAACTTTTAAGACATAGAAATTGTAATATTCTTCTTTTGGGGGAGGGGGGCTTTTTTATTTTATATTTTTATATCATTCGTTTTTGTATTGAAATTGTGATATTCTAGTCTCACTGACTCTGTGCTTTTATTCAAGGCTGCCATCACATCTTTCAGGGCTTCTGGTTTTCAAACCACACTCATCCACAATCATAGACATGGCTCTGCCAGGTTGACTCCAGCTCCAGGATCGTTTAATCATGAAATGAGATCCAGATTCTCTCTGCTCCCAGTCCTGGGCAGCCACTAACACAGATCTCTGTTTCATGCTAGAATTATTAAGCACAAAATTTTACAATTTTTTTTTTGTCTATCACTTTTCTAATCACAATTCAAATGAAATGTCCCTTGTCTTATAAAGTGAGCAGACTTGAGTTAATTACTTAGGAAGTTCAGGACGGCTGCCTTTGAGCTAAGAGGGAACCTCTAAAGCAGCTTCCATTAACATGATCTGGGTATTCCCTTAAAGTCTGAAAAGTTTTTTCAGCCTCCACAGAACCTTTATACTGTTGTCCCAAAAGCAGCTACTCTTTCATTTTAATTATCAATAAACCTAGAGGTTTTTAAATAACAATTTATTTTTATGAAAGAAAACTGGGTTGGAGAAACTCTACATCTACTTATAAAAATAATCTGAGATGGCCCTCCCTGGTGGCGCAGTGGGTTAAAGCACAGCACTAAGAAGCTAAAGCCACTTCCGATGAGTTCAATTCCTGCCTGCCCCAGAGGTGACCACATGGTGTGGCAGACCTCTCCTGACCCACCCACTGTTCCTCTCAGCAGTGTACTTCGTCTCTCTGCCTGTTCTGCTCCCCACTCTGTCTCTGGTGAAGCCTCTCGCCGCCCCTGAGACTCTGGCTTGTATCCCAGTTCTGTATACACAAATAAATCTTTAAAAAATAAAAAAATAAAATAACCTGAGGAGTCACTAAGTCCTTTCCAATAAGCTTTTAACAGTCAATTAGAATAAGTATTCAATATATCTTTCATCTCCCTCTTTATGTCTTTATATCATCTTAAAACAACAGGGCAAGGGCACTGGAATAATGACATAATCTGAAAGTATCCAAGGTATATTAAAAAATCACTGTATCCCCTTTAACAGGAGAGCTCAGTAATTTACTACTTTACCTAGACTCAAATTGTCTAGGTAAATTTGTCTACTTTATATCCCCAAATCTTTGTGGGATGACAAAAGTGATTAAAGTCTCCACCAGGATCAATCTTGAAATGACTTCCTAAAAGTTTAAACCAATTCTCATTCTTATAAAGTAGCTCATTAAGCTTATATTAAAATCATTCTTATTTCCTAGAGATTGATTTTAATATGGATTTATTATCTCATCCAGTTGATGTTTTAAAGATGTTCAAAAAGAAGTGTAAATAACCTTAAGTATCTCAGGCCAAGTCATTTAAAGAACTAAAAAATTCAACTTCTAAATCTTTCTAAACCTATCTACAGCATCCATTCCAGTGTAGATTTCCATCCTTGCTATTTATCTGAGAGACTAAAGGTGAAAATATGACATCATATACCTATACTGCTTATCAAATCCCTACTTGCTCCCATGGCCTCTGTTCCTTGTATCTCTTATGGGAAGCCAAGGGTTATTAAAGATCTATTCCCTGAACATAATAAACAAGGACTTTGGACATGTTTGCATTCATTCTTCAGTCTTCTAAATCATAAAATTTTGGAGTTAAGATGGATTGTGAAGGTACATGCTTCAAACTCTCCATGTTACAGATTTAAAACAACTAAGTTATTTAAAAGTTGAGAGTCACATACACAAGTCCACACAACTAGTTAGTGAAAATTTTAGACCTGAATCCTTGTTGCTCTACATACTCTGAATCCTTTGGCTCACTATTTTCTGCCAACGAGCAGTATCAGCATCACTAGCAGAGTGATCAGGAACACAGAGTCTCAGGCCCTCCTCAACTCACTGAATAAGTTCTATTGCTACAAGTTCCACCAGTATATCATTTGTATATTATAATTTAAGGATCCTTGGAATAAACAAAATGTGTCATTCTCCAGAAAAGGAGAGAAAAACAGACATTGGTTTGAAGCATGATTCCACTTTTCTAAATGTGAGCAAATATCTCAAATTTATATCAATTTGATCTCATTTTTAATCTATAATAGCACTATCCACCTTGTAGGGTTTTCATGATATAAACATAATATAGATACATATGTATTCATTTCATGATATATGCAAAGTGCTTTACACAGTCATGACTACAGTATATACAGCGAATATTAATTCCAGCTTCTTGCTCACCATGAACATTTTGTTCAACCAAAAGGAAAGTAATGAGTGACTGTATATCCATGGAAAAGTCACTTTCCTTTCTTTGTTCAATTTGTTAAATGTCATTTTCACTTTGCTATGTGATTAAGATCTTTATAATATTTTATAGCTCTAACTCCCTAGAAAATTATTTTATTGTGTAGAAAATAAAGAATAGCTAACTATATTTCATATTGTAAAGCATAGTCCCTCAGCCAAGTCATAGCCAAAAGCACACAACTCTCTAAAATCTTAACTTCAAATCCCGTAAGACTGACTGCTAGGATCCAGGAGATCTGCTACCCCTGACAGATTGATTTTCCCAGATTCGGCCATTACAGGATGAGTCCATGATTTTAGCAATAGTAAACATACACTTATTTCATCACCAACCTGTCCACATCTGTCAGCATCAAGGAAAACAGTTTGAAGAGGCAAAGAGAAATAAGATTTCAATATCCAAATTTTTGGAAAATACTGTGCATGGTGGAGTATGAAGCCATACTTAAATTATATTTTGAGTAGAAGGGGTAAGGTTCAATCTGAAAGAAAACAGAGGACACAAAAGTAAAAATAGAAATTGAAAACACAAAGATTATGTTGATTGATAGAACTTAAAAGTTTCAAATAAAAACAAAAATTAACAAAAATCTTTGTTTAAAAACAAGATTGTCAGCCCTCTCTGGTGGTGCAGTGGGTTAAAGCACAGCAGTAAGAAGCTAACACCACTTCAGTGTGAGTTCGATCCCCGAGAGCAGTGTACTTCTTAGTCGAAATGTTCTGCTCCCACACTGTCACTGGTGAATCCTTTCACCACTCCTACACCTCTGGCCTGTACCCAACTCTGTATGATAAAAAAATAAATCTTTTTAAAAAAATTATATTTTGGAGTAACATCTTGGAGAGAATGTGATGCAAACATCCACAAGAAAATCATGTTTCCCAAAGATAATGACTCCCAACCCTAGATGAGGGTTAGACACAACTAAGAGGTTTAAAAGGAAGTTGACTGTACATTTCTGAGGCAAGAACCAGGCTTCCCTGTCTTTTAAAATATCCCCAGTTGATTTCAATGTACAGCTGGGGTTGAGAACCATCCTCCTGTGGCAGCAGCCTTCTTATTTCAGAGTCAGCCCACTGACCGCTATTGGTTACTGTTGATACTCAGTTCCCAGACCTTGAAGAACTGGACTTAACTCCTTTGTGTGCATCTTTCAGGTCTTTTTGCCACTCCTCCAGGACTTCCACCAAAAGGAAAGGAGCCCGTGGACCAACACCCTCTAAGATGTTTATATGGACCAGTGGCCGGACCTCTTCATCTTACAGACACGATGAGAAAAGGTAAATTACTGGGTCTCCGGGGCCTTTCATAAACAACTAGCTGCATAGCCCAAACAGGATGCGCAAAGAAAGTATTAAGGCAACTGAGCTTTGCAAATGTTAATGCAGGCTGGACTCTACATTGAGGAGATGGGGCTTCAGGCACTGTAGCCTTCCTCATCTTTGCATTCCCCATGCTCACTTCCAGTATGTAACTGTGAAGAATGCTCCCTACAAGAAGGCCCTTCAAATCAAATGTGCACTTACTTGCCCACTTGTCACATAACTAACTCCAACTCTGCCTTCAGGTATCCAATCAATTAGAACCTCCCCCACCCTCTCCACTAGCAAAGACTTGATATGTTACTCTCCGTTAACATTCTAGCACCTACTATTGTACCTAGCACATAGTGAATGTTCAATAAATACTGAAAAGACATGGTGAAAACTGCATATCAAGGCACTGGACAAATGGCAAGAAAGGAAACCAGAAACTGTGTGAGGATGAAAAGAGGATGAACTAGTACATAGAGCATCAAATTCCTTGGAAGAAAAGCCTGGAGTAGGGAGAGTTGGGATAATCAAGAAAAAATATAAAAGGTCAAAAACTGGGTTAATGAAAGACAAAACAACAATTACACATTTCACTCCTACCTTCCCACTTGCATTTAAGGAGTAAATGCATTCATAAAATTTTCCAGACATTTTTAAATATTTTGTTTCGCTCCATTAGCTACCTTTTTCTATTCCTCCATCTCATGGACTGTGAACTATTATTTGGACTTCATAAAGCTAAAACACAATTGCCTATATCAGCATATTGAACTTAATCTGGCTCATCTGCCTACAGAATCTAAAACATACCACAAATGAAAAATGGTATTAATCTCAAGAAAGACAAATGGTTATTTACTTCAAGGTAGTTTTGAAAGCCAGTACTTTTATTTTTGCCTTTAAAACTTATATTTCCCTACAGATAAAATCCTTTGAAAAATTCTGAAAAGAACTGCAATAATTATTATAGCAAAAAATTGGAAGCAGCTTTTGTGTTCACAATAGAAAAGCTGTTAAATAAATTATGAAGTATAATATATCACTTGACACTTAGAAATACTTTGACAGTATTAACTGAAAAAAATCTAGTTGAAAATTTTATGCAAACTAAGACTGCAGCCACAAAAAATATATACATAGGAAAAAGTTGGAAGGAAAAGGATGCTTTTACTTCTCTATTTTCCAAATGTGTTATCGTCATACTTAATGAAAATTGATATGGTGTTTAAGTAAATTGACAATCTAGAAGAAAACTAGTATTTAAACAAAGTCCCGGTGCTCATCATGATAAAAGATCAACTGAAAATTTACTTCTTTGTTCATCTCTAGGTATCTACATGCATGTAGAAATACCTACTGAAGTTATTTTTCATTTGCTTTCAGTGCAACTAAGTGGAATCATCAGCAAGATCTATTCTATGGACTAAAATTTCATGGAATATAAAAATTGCTTATCTGTTTATAATTTACTCATTTCCTTAAAGAAGAAACTACTACTAGTGATATGCAGAATGGAAGAGATTTTGTTCCCTATAGTGATATTGTGATTAGCAATGGCCAGCCCTTTTAAGATTTAAAAAATTCATCAGATGGTGAAATACGATGTTTTTTGTTTTACGACCAATTGAATTTCATCAAATAATTAAATCTACTAGATAGATAGATAGATAAACATTTAATTAGCAACTGCTGTGCTGTGCATATTTCATTTACAAATTGTTTAAATTTATAAATTTGGGGCCTCCCTGGTGACACAAGGTGTTGAAGGGCAACACTATGGAGCTGTCAACAGCCACCACAGCATGAGTTTGATGAGGAGAAGGGGTTATTGGGGGAAGGGGGATACCGGTGACCCATGGGGCACAGGGGCCCTCTCTGGTTGCCTGCTACTCCCCTCAGCAATGTATTTCACTAAATCTGCCTGTTATATTTCCCATTCTGTCTCTGGTGAATCCTCTCACCTCCTGCATTTCTGGCCTGTACACCAGTCCATGTATGCATGAGTAAATAAATCATTAAGAAAAAATTCATAATTTATAAACTGTTCCTTTCATTTACAAGATAGGTTTTTTATGCCCACTTCACAGAATGGGAAACAGGTTCAGGGATTTTAAGTAACTTCCAAGGGTCCAACAACCTGCCAGAATTTGAACCCAAGTCATACATACTTCTCTCTCTCCTGTACCTTATGGCTTACATGGGTTTTATCAAATATATGAGATAAGGATATAGGGGCAGCAGTGAAGAACAAATTCACAAGGGGAAAACTCTGTTAAACTACATTGAAAATTGTATATTAAAATTGATAATAAGATGCAAATATGATTTACTGGCATTGTTTGTATAGTTAAGAGAAAATAATTAGTTTCATATTCCACACCACTAAAATTCTATGAATCTCTTAAATTACTACTTTCACTGCCACATTTACAAGGTATAATTTCAGTAACTATGAAATTGATAATAATTAAAATTTCACAATAAGTAAATCACTTTCAACAAGCTTTAAAGCATGGATACGTCAAAGCTTAGAAAATCAGTCTGCCACAGCTTTGACCTACAGAGCTAAAGACAAATGGAAAAAGTTAGACAACAAATACAATAGTCTGCCACTAAGCTTCCTTAGCTTGATATTCGTTCCTTTGTGCCTTCTTCCTGACTTCATCTTCACAATCTAATTCACTCTTATAAAGTAAGACTCAGATTTTAAAATTGACTTTGAACAGCGTCTACTGCACTGCTTAAGATAGATTTGGTGGCAGTTATTCCTGTGATAATGAAGGTGATGATGGCTGATAATGAATCTAGATAATTAAAGTCCTCGAGTTAATTATTTGGAAATAAATTAACCAGGCTGTAAAATAGCACTTGCCCATTTTGTCCCACCCTCATTTTGATTTCATCCTGCAAACCTGGGCTGTGTATTCCCCTTCTCCAGCTGTGATCCACAGCAAATCTACAGGCTGAGTCGCAAAACCCTCTGCCCCATTCCATGCCATATCTTCCCATGACAAGAGCCAAAATTGTCAAAATAATGGTTTCTCTGAGTCCTCAAAAGAGAGGAACCTCAGGAAATTATCTCAAGGACAAGGCAGAGACACTGAATAGAAAAAAGGTCCACTGAAATTTCTGAAGCCGAAGGTTTTAGGTTCAAAAGAAGTTGTAGTCAACTTTACACTTCTACTGTTAATTTATCAAAGCCAGGCTTTTTTTTTTTTTAAATCAGCTGTTGCATGCAGAACACAGGTTTCTATCCTAAGCTCTATTCCACAAACCCAGCAATATGAAGGAACACCTTTTCCTCTCTGAGGAGTATTTTTGTTAGATCAGCTTACTTTAATCCCCAAATTGCACAAGGTGAAAGAAAATAACAGTAATAACTTATTTATAAATTAAAAAACAGAAAATATGTAATCTAAGTGTTGGAGGGAAAACACAAGCTTTATGGACTCTACCCCTACCCCAGACCAAAGAGCTTCAAGAACCAAGCACTACAAACCCCTTAATGTCATCACCACCAAAGGGAGAATTGCTGGGAAATAAGGGTGGGGCTAAGCATCCAGGCTTGGTACATAATCAGACTTGTGGGCCTTGGGGGGTCCTTGGCTTTTGGCATGCTGTTGAGGCCCCAACACAGCAGAACTCATAGGTTGCATTTGCCAATTTATCTCTCCATTTTTTTCCCTGAGTTATTCTTTTCTTTATTTCTCCTTGTAAATAAATCTTGTTTATTAACCTCTTATTAACCTTGTTGTGTGTGTCTACAGTTGAGTCTCATTCTAAGTCCCTTTAAGCACATGGGTAAGGACCCACAGTCAGGTCAACCCAATTCACTTTGGGGTTGCCCTGTAACGTAAGTACATTGTTGTTATTTATCAAATTTCCTTTGGATCATTTTACTAAATACTGAACTAAAAGGAATAATTACTGAAAATATTTAACATAAAATGATGCTATAATGAACATTTAAGTATACTTCATTAATCTTAAAAATAAAAGAATCAGAATTTTTAAAGTTCTTGAGATATTTCACTGAAGTATCCACCTTCCTTTTCCTTATCTCAACCCAGAGTTTGCTGAATATTATGTTGTTTTTCCCTTAATTTTATTTCTCCATAAATTTAGCAAATTGGAAATCTTAAACAATATAACATTCACTTCTGAATGTTTGGAGATTTTATATAAATGAAATCACACCATATGGCTTGTTCTACAATTTTTTTTACCAAGTATTTTGCCCCTATGATTTTACAATGCTGATGTGAGTAGTTCATTTTCTTTTCTATATTGTATCCCATACATGAATATACACTGGACCCCCTCCACACTTCGCTGCCTGCTGTCCACACTCCCCTTCTAGTAGCTACAGTTCTGCAACCAGATTTCCGGGTTCATTTTGGTTTCATTTTGTATGTTTCATCATTTAGTTTCTTTTTATTTCATATAGGAGAGAAATCATCCAGTAATACTTTTTAATCAGAATTGTATTTGCTGTCCTTAAATAGTCGCACTTTCTTATATATTTTAGAATCAGCTTGTCAAGTCAGATCCAAAAAAAATGTTTGGGAATTTTTATAAGAATGTTATGAAATCTATTTAACTTATAGTAAATTTATACTATTATTTAACCAAGTCTTTACTGAATGAATATGATTAACCTCTACATTGATTTGCCTTTCCTGGTATCTCTCAATAAAGTTTAATAAATTTCTCCAAAGAGAACTTACAATTAACTCATTAAATTTATTCCTAAGAACTTTTTTAATGTTTAAAGTAAAGTTTCTATTTATGCAGATGGAAAGGCAAATAAAATGTCAACTTTTGTATCAACTATGTGAAATTCTTTTATTATTTTCAATAATTTATCTATATAGTCTTTGTATTTTCTTCACTAGTAATTAATATGCTTTGGTTTCTTCTTTATTAGGATATATCCTATACATTTATTTTTTTCCTGTATTATACTA